ATGAGACAGTTGGAGGTTGACTTTTGTCGTCATTCATGTGGAGGTGTTTTTGCAAATATACCCAAAAGTAATCTTAAACATGATGCACACGCAATATACGCACTTGGTACTGATAAGCCGCAATTTATGCAAGAAGCAGCCTCATTTATTTGCATGCTCGTGGATTCCATTAATGAGACCGGCAATTGGTTCACCACACACACACACACACACACGCACTTGTAGAAGCAATAAGAGATGGAAATGCATGCCAACAAAGACAAAGAGAGAAGCAGGGCAGAGGATGAGTCTGGCGTGTTCGGAGGGGGACAGGAGAAAAATTATGCATCAAAAGATGAGAATGACAAGATTGAAGTTTCGCAAAGAGAAGAATGAACAGAACGCGAAAGTAAGGAAGTGAGGGAGAAAATGAAATGAACTGGTCTGAGGAGAGATTTGCCGACCAAAGTGGTTTTCAATGACGGCACCAGAAAAGCCCGAAAGCAGTCGACCGGGAGAAGGGCTACCACACGCGTTGAAGGGGTCAACTTGGCATGGGCAATTTTGCCGTGTTGTCGTATGTCGCCGGTACCGGCAAAGAGCGGAATGGCGCTGCTGGCGCAATGTCTGGCAAGGAACCGAGCGAACCGATTGACTCTGCGGTTTCTTGGAATGACCACTCGCGACAAGACGAAATGGGAAAAGAGACGTGTCAACAACGTTGAACTGTTTGAGTTATGAAGAATCGTGTATCGCGGCTCCTTCTACCTCGCCTCAAATGAGAGGCTTTTCGACATGCTTGACAAAAGGGTCGGCCAGGGTCTGTACCAACTCTGGCGAGCTCGAGGTCTGGTCTGAAGGCCATACTGGTTTAGAGCAGCAGAGAGGGCAATGTCTCTGATGCAAAGTAATAGTGCTGGGGGAATCGACAAGTACAACAAGGGATAGATAGATAGGTGGATAAATAAGCAAACAAATAAAAAACACACAAACACGGATCATTCAAATATTCAATTAAAGTTATAGAAGAGGAAAGAACGAAAGAATCAATCAACTAACCAAATTTAGAAATAAATAAATAAAACTAGATAGATAGATAGATATATAGATGGATAGAATGTTAGATAGAGAAATGGATAGGTAAATAGACAAACATAAAGACATACAAACAAACAAACATACAGACATACAGATAGATAGATAGATAGATAG